CGGATGACACTCCGCGCCCTCGTCCGATTACTACGGACTGAACACTCCACGCTTCATCCCATTATTACGGCGCTGAACACTCCGCTCCCGTCCCATTACTACGGCTGAACACTCCGCTCTCTCGTCCCATTACCCTGACTGAACTCGCTCTCTCGTCCCATTACTACGACTGAACACTCGCTCTCTCGCCCATTACTACGACTGAACACTCCGCTCTCTCGTCCCATACCATGACTGAACCCTGCTCTTCCCGTCCCATTACTACGACTGAACACCGCTGTCTCGTCCCATTACTACGGCTGAACACACCGCTCTCTCGTCCCATTACTACAGCTGAACCACTGCACTCTGGTCCCATTATTATACTTAACTCTTCGCTCTCGTCGGTTATAATTCAAAACGTCGAATCGCAAGGTTAGGTGGCAAGCGTGGGAGACGTGACGGGACCAAGTGCAGAACAGTAAATATATGTGCTACGTGATGTCTCTGCATTCTATGTTCGTGACATGCCGCTTGTTATTTACCGCTAGCACTTGTCAGTACTCTTCCACGTGAGGATGAACCAATGATTGTACCGGGACGTTGTCGTCTTTCTGTCACCGGTTTTCCATGATGTGTGCTGTCCTGTTGCTTTATTGCCACAACAGGAAAATGCAGCCTCTCGACCCCCCCCCCCCCCTCTCACAATCCGTACACTCCCGGTTATGGACGCGCGGTTGGTGTGGGGCCCGACCCTTCACAGCCACTCGGTGGCAGATTGTGATCGCCAGCTCGTCTCTGGTGGACTCTGTCCATAACCCACGCTCCGACCGTGCCAGGTCAATGACCCACGCTCCACCGCGCCAGGTCAATAGCCTACGCTCCCACCGCGCCAGGTCAGTAGTCCACGCTCCGACCGCGCCAGGTCAATAGCCCACGCTCCGACTGCGCCAGGACAATAGCCCACGCTCCCACCGCGCCAGGTCAATAGCCCACGCTCCCACCGCGCCAGGTCAATAGCCCACGCTCCCACCGCGCCAGGTCAATAGCCCACGCTCCCACCGCGCCAGGTCAATAAGCCACGCTCCCACCGCGCCAGGTCTCAAGGATAGAGATAGGGCTGAGGTGCAGGAGCGCTGGATGGACGGCAAGATGCCCGTCATCACGGCCACCGTCAGCTTCGGCATGGGCGTCGACAAGGCCACCGTCAGGTAAGATGCCAACCTCCCGGTGGCTGGAGTCTTAGTAGTTAGTTTAGGCCTAGTTTAGTAGCAGTTGTCACTTAAGTACCTATTAGCGGTATTTTGTTCCGCCCATATAGCTTTTTAGGTTAAGGTGGATTCGTGCCCCCGGTTGCATTTTGATGGTTAATTTGTTGCATTACTGAATCATCTGTTCGCATCCGGCTCGCGTTCGACTCGAGCTGAATCATGAATTGACTCACGAACCAATCGTTTGGGGTGAGCCGCGAGCTGAGTCGGCTCGGTAGGAAAAATGCCGCTTGAGCCATGAGCTGAATCACATTCTTTGTGAACTTCATTAGCTGAGTCGTGAGCCGATTGTTTCCAACAGTGGCGTGTCATGACCCGTATGGTTAAAATTAATATCGTAACATGAGGAAGCACGTCACGCCCCAGACAAATTACCAGATAATTTCGGAGTGTTTAAGTTACAGTGTGTAGCATTTGCCATAAAGCCTTGTGCAAATCAAATGTTTGAAAATTTGTGATTGTAATTTCTAAACAGCAGCAGCACAGTTCGTTGGTCGTGATAAAGTTGTCAAGTTTCAGTGAGGAACTAGGGTATTACGTACAGAGATCCTAGGTTGCTATACACTGTGCTAAAATCAGTGAAAGATCTGCTACCTATAAAATCCAGGGGCTGGTTATATTTGTCGTCAATTGTCAAGAATGAAATTATTCATGCCTGACCCCCCATTCACGACCTGAACTGTTGTAAGCATGCTTTTGCTTAGGATATTTGAAGTAAGCAGCAATAGTGGCAAGGTCTTCTTGTTTCATATGCAGATTGCTTGCCGCGGGAAGTGACCTGCCAAGGATTGCATCAACGACTTTTGTCTGTTTTGAAATGGGTGCATGATTCTTACTTTTTGTTCGGTTTGAACCACGTTTAATGTAAATAGGAAATACGGATAATATATAAATAACTACGCTAAACCAAGCCTAAAACTCGCAAATTGACATTGCCAGACGACATTTGTTTTGAAAGACATTGCCGTATCAGCGATCACTTTGCACCAAACGTTCTAAAAAAGATTCTTTGGGCTTTCGTTCAGTGTTTCGCCTCTCGTTGTGACTGTTGGAGGGAGTATGGTCAGGAGTGGGGTGCCGTTTGCATAAATCAGACAAAGCGTCCATGTGACAGGTGACTCGGCCAGTCGTTTGCGGTTCAGTTGAACAAAAGTAGACCGGCTAGGGATCCCTAGGCACTCCGTTTGGTTACCGGTGAGTTTGTCAGTTCTCTGCGCATCACCCGCCTCCGGCCTCTCAAAACCTGAACCAACCAGGGTCCACGCCGTTCCAGTGAAGCTTTGTAGGACCCAAGTGTAGAGCGGCAGACTGCCACCCCGTTCTGGCTCCTCGCGGCCTGTTGACAAGGTGTGTTTGTGGTGTCAGCGCGCGGGCGGCTGAGCGCTGTGTGGGGTGCCGGCAGGTTCGTGGCCCACTGGAGCATGCCACAGTCGGTGGCCGGTTATTACCAGGAGTCGGGCCGCGCCGGCCGCGACGGCCGGCCCGCCTTCTGTCGTATCTACTATTCGAAGCGGGTAACGAATCGCCGGCGGGAGGCTGATGATGGCTGATGGTGGCACCGGCTGATGATGGCTGATGGTGGCTGATGATGGCACCGGCTGATGATGGCTGATGATGGCTGATGATGACACCGGATGATGAGGCTGATGTGGCACCGGCTGATGATGGCTGATGATGGCACCGCTGGCGATGGCTGATGATGGCACCGGCTGATGATGGCTGATGATGGCACCGGCCGATAATGTCGCGTCTGCTTGAGGTGCACAACGGACGAGAAACCATTGCAGTGGCAGCTCAGGCTGTGCTCGAGCCTAGGCTGTTTGCGAAGCCATGCTGTATAATCTTGTTTATGTTATTTCGAATATCCAAGCCGTCATTGCTGTCATGATTCAGCTTTCATTCATTGTTGGAAAGAAATAGTTGGTATATTGCAACAATAGGATCTCACTGCATAATGCTGTGCCTAGTTGTGTTGGTACTGTCAGATTTAAAGCTGGCAAACTCTCTTTTATTATGGCAATGAAGTTCCTTGCAATTTGTTCATAGCCAGTGGCACTGGTGTCGGAAGTTTTGTCTCGAAAGTGAAGCGAAACAAAAAGAAAACGAAAATAAAAATCGTTTTGTGCCACCGTCTATTGACACAAACTCGTATGAGCCAATGATTTATGTTATCGCGACGTTGGCGATTTTTAGGACGTGTTTGCGGATAACAGTGGGGCACGCAGCTTTAAAGAGTGCCGCGTCTTATGTGTGAATGGAGTTGTGCACCGCCATGCGTGACCATTAGTCCTTTCTAATGACCTAGTGCTCGGCCGTTTGGTTGCGCCTGCTCGTTACCACATTGTTCGTGATTATGAAGGCCTGTACGCTGCACAGGCAATGGAGGTGTGGACTTGTTTTTACAGGAAAGGGAAACGGTGGCCTTTTTTTAAAGAGGGGAACGGCCCATAATAAGAAGGCCAACAAGAAGGATCTAACTCAAGAAGATATGAAGAGCTTCGAGATCATGGTTCGGTACTGTGAAGAAGCCAGGTGCGTTTGAGTTATATTGCACGTGGTTAGTGCCACGTATCCTCACGGGTGCGCGTCACTTGTTGCGACTTCATGACATCCACTCAATCAGTTGCGACCTACGGCAAGTTGTTCCTGAATGCCCAATGCAATGAGCTCACTTGGCACGTCGCATCAGGGATCGAGAATCATCACCTATGCTGTTGCATCTCTGGCCCATGCCACTGGTCGGGTACGCCTGGCGGCTGGCCTGAGCTAGCGCCGTGCCGTGCTGCCCGCTGTCAGGTGTCGTCACGCCGTGTTCACGCGCCACTTCGGGACGACCCTCCGGACTGCGGCAGGCAGTGCGACGTCTGCCGACACCCGAAATGGTGGAGAAACTGATCGGAGGCTACTTCAGGGTACGTGGTGATGTCATGGACGAAAAAAATATCCTGAACGAACAGAACGTCGGCGGAGGAGCAGAGCCGTCTTGTGTTGTTATGCTTCTGCATTTCTATGGAATTCAACCACAGCATGGCTGTTATCTGCCACGGTCGTGGAATGTTAAATAGTATGCTATGCAATGGTGTGCAACACCTGCCTGCAGGCATAACGAGAGAAGTGACCCACATTTCATGAACACAACACGAGCAAAATTGTTCCGTAAATTGTGGAAAATAGGACACGAAATAAAGCGAGGCCACGCACTGGATCACACTGTCGCCTCAAAGTGTAATTTTCAGCCCTTATCCCTCGCCGTGATAGGGAAGGGGGGACGTCAATGCCCCGACCAGCGTTTTTTGAGGATATCTCTCCAGCATTTCGTGTAATCGCTCCCAAATTTTCGGTATCCTCCGCTGCTTTCATAACGCGTTATTTACGTACAAAAAAGAAATGGGTAGCCCGTCTGGTTTCCGAGAAGCCTCGTTTTAGCAAGACTGCATAGCGATCTGCGGTCGGCATGGGCGCCGGCCGGCAACCGACGGATATTGCCAGTTCGATGGAGGCCCGAGCCAATTTTGAGAGCTGAGCGGTGTGAGCTTACCAAGAGAGCAGAGGCTGGATATGACCCCCAGATTCCGTGCGGTAGGGTTGGGGGCCCGAGTTTCAAAGTCGTCCAGCTGTGGGAAGAACTCGAAAGTTCTGACCGCTGCGAAATTACACCATCAACTGAGTTAAAAACGCCCGGACACGCATACGTGCCGTCTGTGGAGTCGGGGGCCCCGGGCCTCGGGGCACCTACGTCATCTTTTCTACCGAACACTAGGATATACGGGTCGTCGGCGTTGAACACTAACAGGGCTATGAATGGAGTACTATACGGGTCTTCGGCCCTTTCTCGTGATGTTCTTGATACATTTGCCCGTGAGTTTAAGTGTTTTCTTGTATTTACATGCTCGGATATAGTTATTTTATGTTATTCGATCGTTTATTTACTAATAGCAAGGAA